TTCAACAAAGGGGAGCAGCTGGGGCCGCAGTTCAGTGGTAGGGTTCATTCCTGGGTCTTTGAGTCAATCCCTAGTTTTTCGCTAAAAGAAGAGGAAGGAAGGATCACAGAAAAGGAATCCTTTTCTCTCAAAGAACATGAAAAGGCTGCAAATACAGCCAGCTTCCTCAGCACAGGCCTGACCTGAGCAGACCTCTGTGTACCTGTCGTCCATAAAGCAAGTCCAGGTCACTCTACTGTCTCCCTCCCACCCCCTCCTAGTTCCCTTTTTACTCTTTGGCCCCTCTACTGGGCATCAGTCCTAGCAAAAACAAAACAAAACAAACCATTCTTCTCTAGGAGAGGAGGCAGCAGGTTAGCAGTTCCAAGATGGCCTTAGGCAGCATGGATGAGGGAAAGCCTTTTACACACTGTGCTCAGACTGGACACCAAATCCAGACGATCAAAATCTGACCAGAGTACAAAACAGTGTTGGAGGAATGACCACACAGTTCAAGTACAATAAGGGACACCAGTGAAGAAATATCTGCTACGTAGGCCAAAGATATTCCCATGACCCCACCTCAGACTTATCCTGGGTCCCACACAATATGTCCTCTCTCAAGCAAAGTCCTCTCAGCTGCACATCAACCTGCATCTCCCCTCCAGTGTTACCACTTTAGTATGAGCGAGCTACAGCAAGCCTCAGTATGAGAGGCAGATCAGAACACTGAGTGCAGTTTCTCATAGAGGAAGTGATGCCGAAGAACTAGAGGGAGAATGGAGCTCTGGGTGATTTTTTAACCTCACAATCTGTCTAGGCCTGTGTCTTAGTAGAATTCTAGATTTCTGTGAACAGAGGAGGGAAAAGATCCAATCAGAGTCACCCATGCAAGTACCAGTTTTCCAGAGTGGACACATTCATTTCTCGCCACAAACTCCGATTCAAACTTTGCTTTATGGGTGGTAAAGAAGTGTAATGCATGGGGTGCTACAAATCTGAGGAAAACTGAGCTTTGTGGGATTAAAGAGTCTGTCTTGCTGAAGCAATCTTCTGAGCTTTTAATGCACTAACATATGGAGGGGAACAGAAAATACAGCGTTTCCTTAATGTAGCAGTGCTCAGAGTGTGGTCTTCCAAATTCAAAGAACTAACGTTTTCTAAACAGTGCGTGCACGATAGCACAGAATCCTGCGTGCTTCACACATTCACTAATGTACAACACAGAACAATGTGCAAAACAAAATGCAAAAAGTGCTTTCACACGCTTCCAGATTTCATGTTGCAACCACCCTGTACGACGTTATCACTGGCTGAGTTGTTGTACTGTTAAAGAAGTGGATCCACGATTTCTCCACTTTCCTACCACATACCTGTGTGGGGTCAAAGCATCTCTACAGACTCACTCAAAACAACATACACACCTGGGTGGGCAGCCTGAGCACATTCTACAGGGTCTACACGGGAGGTATAATCTCATAGTATGCTTGTAAAATTGTCCATTTAGGTGCCTCTTCTCCTTAGCCATTTCTCAGCAAGTTAATTTAGATGCTGATCGAAGGAATTCCTCTGAAACAGAAGTTTAGGCTTCTGACCCCGGCAGTAAATGCGTGTCTCCTTTGGCAAGATAGTAGATACTGACCTTGTCTGTTTACAAGAGGTCTTAAAATGGAGAATTTTTAACTGAGCAATTTTTTTTTTTTTTTTTTTTTTTTTTTTTGCGGAACCGGGGATTGAACTCAGGCCCTTGCGCTTGCCAAGGAAGCGCTTATTCCACTGAGCCATCTCCCCAGCCAGTAAATATTACAAAGAGTCAAGAAAAATAAAAACGGAAGTCTGCACTCTCTCACGGTAGACAGTCCTCTGCCACTTGACACGCCATGAGGCCCGAGAATGTAGCGGGTGTCGTGACAGTTAGAACCCTGGCCAATAGCCTTTATCGTTGTTTCCAGCAGCAAACTCCCTGAGGGAGTGTCCTGTGCTGCAAGGGGCTCTTTTATAAAGCAAGCAAGAGGGCAACAATTTACACTCTTGGCAATGACAATTTGCCTTTGTAAAAACTATATGCAAGCCAAAAATAACTGAAGAAATAATTCATATTTCAAGCACAGCATTTCAGAATATAGAATAAGGCCAGATCTCTACTTTCTCTTCCTCCTGTCAAGTACCTGTGACAGATTCCCAGAAGGAGTCAGAGGAGTGTGAGGCATTGAACAACCTTCCCATATAAAACCACTCTTCCAGGAAGGCAGGCCTTGCACAGAGCTGGCCCGGGGGTACGCTGCACAAGCCTCATTTCTATTTTGGAATCTGTCCAAGAATGAGAACTATTAAGGTGACTTATGTAGGGATTCTTTGTTTTGTTTTGTTTTTTCATTTCAATCCAACTTACTTTTGTTTGATCATCTGCTTTGAACACATAGCAGACGCTCTGCCGGTAGACAGCATCCTCCTTAATCAGACACGCGAAGTAGCTCGGGTCATGACTGTTGTGGATCAGTTTGTGGACTCGCTGAGGCTTGCACTCAAAGATGCTCGAGCAGATCAAAGGATCCCATTGTTGACTCCTCCCGGGATCAGGTTCACATCTCAGCCCAGAGGGCGAAACCCAAAGCCGGACTTGTCTGACCACAGGCTCCTTTTTGGAGGACTGGCCGCTGAGGCGCCGCACCTCCGCCACAACCCAAGGCAGCATGGGCATGGTGGTCAGCGAGTGCACAGGCAGGGAGCCCACCAGCTGGAGGCCGAAGGCCACCGAGACCTCACTGGGCAATGGAAGTTTCCTTGCTGTGAATGTTATTGGTTCCATCTTGGGAAAGGTCTAGAGACTCAGCAAATTCTTGCCACTGGTTTTCTATTTTGGACCGAGCAATCTATTTTCCACGCTTCTGAGGCAGGCTCCTAGGGGAGGAAAACAGAGCCATTAGAATTTAATGAAGTCATAGCAGTATCTACTTTGAGAGAGTTATTACTCCTGAACTTAAAAATCTGAAACTCAAACGCATAGAAGAAATGGATATTAGCTCAAATAAGCCGCTTTGCCTGGAAAGAGCTCTTGTGCAATCGTATTACATATAAAACCTAGCAATGGCATAGCTGTCACACTCATTACAGAATACAAAGATCCCTCTGGGAAACTGCTGTTAAACAGAAGCCTTTGAGGGCCAGCAAAGGCAAGCACAAGAGGAAACAACAGGGCTACTCTGACAGCTTCAAATTCTATTGTATCATCGAACAACTATTTTAAGGAATTTTTCCAAGATAATAAAATTCAGTCCAAGTGTTTCTCCCTGAAAAAAAATCTCGTGAAAAAATATTAGCCATCCATCACTAGAGTCTATAGAATAGGCTACTTTCAAACAATTAACCTAGTCATTTATGCTACTATTCAAGTTTTACCTCTTTTTCTCCCTGTGGTGCTCAGGGCCCCAGGGCTTCACACTTTGTAGGCAAGGGCTCTACTGTTGAGCTACATCACTAGCCCCTGCTCAAATCCTAAAACACTCTCCCTGAGTCACAAGTTCATATCCCACTAACACATAGTCAGTGCCTGCTGTGTGCAAAACACCACCCTAAAAATCACTTTAAGTCACATGCTACAGGAGGCCATCTCCCCCACGCCTTGCCCCGCGCCTCAGCAGATGCCAGTGTTTCTCCTACCAGACCCCAGATCTTTCAACTGCTCTTGCCTGTTTCAGCAAAGCACTTTTGTGCAAAACTCAGTTGTCTCAAAGATCGCAAGGCCTCATTTCTACTCATTCACACCCTGGACCTTCAGTGTCTCGCGGTCCTTTGAGTGAGGACACAGGAGAAACTCTAGCACAGTGGGGACTGCATCTGTCTCCACCACCATTCACCTCGGGGCCTGGCAGTGATGCACAGTCGGTGCTCAGGAAATAGTTTGAAGGATGAGTGAAGTCTCTCCCAATCATGAAGAGAGGAGGAGGAGGAGGAAGAGGAGGGAGAGGAAGAAAAAGGGGAGGGGGAAAAAGAGAAAGAGGAAGATGAACAGGAGAAAGAGGAGGAGGAGGAATAGGAGGAGGAGGAAGAGAAATCTCTTCCTGAAACTCTTCTGTCACGTATCTTTTCTGATTGCTTTTCTTTTTTTTCTGATTGCTTCCTTTTAGATTTTTTGTTTGCTTAGTTTTCTTTGCTTGTGTGTTTGTTTTTCTTTCAGAACTGGAATTGAAACTGGGGTCTTCACATTGAACTATGTCCCAATCCAATTTCTATTTTATTTTTTATTTTGAGACATCTCTCTAAATCACCAAGTTTCCCAGACTAAGTTCAAACTTGCACCTCTCCTGCTTCAGTCTCCTGCGGTGCTGGGGCTACAGCTTTGCACCGCCATGCCGGGTCTCTTTTCCAGTTCTTTAAAGCCTTTCATCCACTGCTAGATCCACCCTCTTCCAGTCCTCCTACTTTTCTTTGAGCAATCCTATCTCATCTTTTGACATTCTAATACTCAGATTCCTTTTCTTGAGTGTCAGGCCCTTACATTGTCTATTATTAATCTCCATCTTTATTAGTTAGAGACTGCACTTAAGAACTAAGAATCTGAGGCTTAGAAAGTTGGAGCCACTTGTCACAGAGTCATGACACAGTCTGCACCTGACTCTGAGGCCTGTCCTTCCAAGTGAGGCACAAGATGCCCGAGTGTTGTTCCTATGGGAACCGCCTGCCTGGTCCCCATAGCAGATGCAGCCATTTTTAGCTGCATGTTTCTAGCTGAAGAGCCCTTAGCACCTCAGCGGGGATCTAGTCCTTCTAAGGCTGCTCATTCTCACGTTCCTCCTTTCTAGAACTTCTCTTCCTTCCTAAAAGGTCCATTTCAGTGAATTGCATCACTACTAATTTTATTGGTTGGTCAGCCAGCTTTCCATCACTGTAACAGACATCTGAGAAAATCACCTTGTGAAGAGAAAAGGTTTGCTTTGGCTCATGTTTTAGAGGCCCCAGTCCTTGGTCAGTTGGCCCTGTAGAATCTAGGCCTGGGGCAGGCAGCACATGGTGGAGGGAGTGTGCGGCAGAGCAAAACCATTCATCTGTGGCTGGGAATAAAGAGAAAAAGCAGAAAGGGTCAAATCTCTTTAAGGCTGGTCCCTTAGTGATCTGAAGACCTCCTACTAGGTCCTTCTTTTTAAAAGCCAGCCCCTACCTCTCCCCAAATCACATTCCTGGGCACCGAAACTTTACCATAAGGACCTCTGAGGGGGAAATTCTAGATCCAAAGCCCAGCACTGGCCAAGAGGTCATTCAGATCTTCCCATCTGGAGAAAAAGATGTTCCCATCCTTCAATTCAGCCCTCATGTTTTAGTAATTTTCCTAATACAGAGACTCCATCATGTCACTCTTGTGCTAAAATTCCCTTACTGCTTCCTTCCCATAAAATCTAAGCTCTTCTACGTGGCATGTAAGGGCTCCTTGGAATCTCATCCTGTCTATGTCTCTAAGTTCTTATTCTTCCTAATGCCCCCCTTCATGTACCTTTTGGGTCTCAAGATAGAAAACCAGTCACAGTTCTTTACAGAAGGTCTGATTTCTCATGCTCTTGTGCTATGGCACACATTATTTCTCTCTTTGGAACATGATACTTCTCACAAACTGTGAAAGATCTCCAAGCTAACAAACTAGCCTATCACAAGTTAACTTAACTGGTAGAAGACAGAAATTTCTGGGGTGAGAGACTAAAGACAATTTATTGTTAGTACTAATAGCAGTGGCCGGAGAGTCAGAATCAGGGTCAATTTTCTGACACCCCAACCCCACAGACCAGGTGACATTTATATTCCAGTGGGTCACAGGAGAAAAACGTGGTTATAGGGAGCCTAAAATGTTCATGCAAGCAGTAAGCACTTGTGCCCTTGCATCGAGAGAAAGACACTATTTTTCTGTTCCATGTTTGTTTGCTGCAGAAATATGACTGAAAATATAATACAGAACAAGGCATGTACTATCCCACCTACAAGATATGTAGAAACATGAGACTCTGGGGAATCATCTTGCAACCACTCCTCCTCTTATTTTTTAATTCCAGGTCATATTTATCACTTGAGCCACCATCTATCTATAAGTAGCATTCAGAGCTAATCTACTTCTTAAAGAGAAACTAAGAAAGTGCCACAAGTGATTTGAAAAGTGAAAACTAGGCTTTCATATTGTTTTGTCAATAAACTAGCAGAAAAAAAGGGCTTATTGACAACCACCACCTAATTCTTCTAAGAAAGTTTAGAGCAGTCAATCCACACTGTGTTTCTAATCATCATATTTATTACAAGAGTTTGAAGAGGTGTCCCTCCACAACTAGCAAGCTGCTTAAATTCCTGAGGTCTGCGGTTCTGAAGAGCAGAACTTACGACCTTTTCTGAAATAGAACAGAAGTCTATTTTTTATTCTATGTTCTTATATATGGTATCATTCTAAAATTAAATTTTGCAATATAATTTGAACATTACTAAGAGCTTGCTTTTTTTGTAAACGTTCAAAAGATTAGAAATAAACCAATTCTTTAGTGTTCAAATATATTTTGTGAAAAGGCCAGCTAAAGAGCTTAGCAGATTGAAGCACCTGCTTAGGCACACGCAGTGGCCAGGGTTCGATCCCTGGCATGCTGTGCCAGCCCTGCCTGCGGGGCACACTAAGATGGTGATTGAGACTGGGTGTGGTGGTATGCACCTGTAATCCCAGTGCTTGGGAGGCTGAAAACAGGAGAATCACTAGGAGTCTGATCTATGTAGTGAGCCCCTGTAGGCCCCGTAGACCCTTACTAATATAGTGTGTATTAGTAAGGGTATATATATAGTGTGTGTGTATATATATATATATATAGTGTGTGTATATATATATAGTGTGTGTATATATATATATTATATATATAGTGAAAGTGTAGTTCTTATCTTCCTTTTGCACAACTATTCCTGATAATGAAGACAGTCTTTAAGTTCATATAATCCAATAAATAGTAGTCGGTCCTTTTTTATCTCTCGTCTGCAGGTGAAAGTGGCTTTAAATGTCTGGCTTGACAACCAGTCCTGTAAATGAATCTGATTCAAGTTGTAAGTGTTGACAGCTATTAATCCCAAGACATGCTGAAAGACGACCAGTATTGCTACAAAGGGTAGGGCTGAAGCCTATCACTTATTTTAGGTGACACAGTTATTAATATGGTGGTAACAAATGTAGAAGAATGACAAGTGCTCTTATCATTTAAATCACTTGGTAAATAGTCATAAAATTGGTTCTGACAGTTTATTGACAAAACAATATGAATGCCCCGTTTTCACTTTTAAAATCAGTTGTGGTACAGTCCCAGTTTCTCTGTAAAAAGCAGATTAGCTCTGAATGCTGCCTATAAAATATCAAGCTATCTCTCTGAATTCAGTCAGACATAGCTATCTCTTTATACAAGAAATTCAGATAGTTCTAAAATTCACAAAGTAAGACTAGGTCATGCATTACTATTCAATAAAAATATCACGCAATAGATGAGCTCTTCAACAACACTACAAAACAATACATTAGTTTTAAAGCTGTCTCAATCCACATCATCTACATTCAACTCCACGCCTCTTGTGTTTCGTGTCCATAATAAGAAATACTACAATTCATTATGACAGTGAGTTTCCCGTTCTGTTCTTCTTAGTAGAGCCATGTGTGTACAAGACCTGTCCCTGGCCCTGTGGATTCTACTCCACCCCTGCCCAAAACACAAAATTCCTGCTAGGCCACCCACCCAGGAAGCATGCATTTAGATTCATAAAATTTTAAAGACAACAAGGCCCTTTAAAGACATTTAGAAATGCCCCTCATATTTGAAATGAAGCAACTGGGTTCTGGAGAAGTTAAGTGGCCTATCCAAATTTAGTGACAGAATTAGGACAATCCAATTCCCTGACTCCCA